ACGTTTTTTAATTTTTTTTTTATATTGTTTAGTTTGACTTGTGAAATCAGCAAAAATAAAAAACTAAAATAATTGAAGATCTAATGATTTATTTCCATAATTTATTCTTCATAAATATTAAAAATTTATGTAATCTAGAATATTTTGAATTTTTTTTTTGATTAATCATAACTTTGCAGTTATTTCTATTTATTAAAATGCGAATAGAATAAAAAGGAAAGGTCATAATATTCAAATGAATTAGTTACTATTATATCAAAGTTATATCGATGTGCATTATCTCAAAATTGTAATTAGGAGGCATTAATTATCAGTAAAATTTTCTTTAATTAAAATAATCTGAGAAAATCAATAAAAAATTCTTAGCTTTCAGTATATTTTTTTTATCTAGATTAGAAATAAAGTATTACTTTAAATGACATAAAGCACACTTTTAAATTTTATGTTGGGGGGGGGGGTTAACTTATTCTGCTAAAAACTTAACCCAAAATGTCCGCTCCATACTTACAACCATGAGTGAGTGAGACCAGGAAGACTAATATATTTTCTATCACATCAGATAGAGGTTACATGCTTATTAAATAAACAATACGTAATAAAATATTCTTAAAACATTTGCGTTTATGATTTAAGAAACTTCGGTTGGTAAATTGATATTGAATATATCAATTTCACTTAAAATGAATTCACAATTTTCGCGGTCATGCTTCGCTATAATAATTTCGCGCAAATACATTCACGGTAGAAAATTCGCTATAAATGGTTCGCGATTAAAGTTTCGCTATAACGAGTTCGCGATCAAAGTTTCGCTAAAATGTATTCGCTCTAAAGTATTCGCGGTTTAGGTTTCGCGGAAATAAATTCGCGATAATGAGTTCGCGATCAAAGTTTCGCCAAAATGTATTCGCTATAGTATTCGCGGTTAAAGTTTCGCGAAAATAAATTCGCTATAAAGAGTTCGCGATAAAAGTTTCGCTAAAATGTATTCGCTATAAAGTATTCGCGGTTAAGGTTTCGCGGAAATAAATTCGCTATAACGAGTTCGCGATCAAAGTTTCGCTAAAATGTATTCGCTATAAAGTATTCGCGGTTAAGGTTTCGTGGAAATAAATTCGCGATAATAAGTTCGCGATATTGTCTTCGCTATAAATGTTACGCGGAAAAAAATTCGCGGAATTGGTTTCGCTATATTACCTTCGCTATAAAATTCCTTCGTGATAAACAACATTCACGATAAAAGTTTCGCGAAAAAGTGTTTCGCGATAAAAGTTTTGCTGAATTGACCTGATACGCTTAATTCTGAATCCGAATTTCAAAAATCTTGTTTTTAATAGAAAAAGAAAAGGATGATATATATCAGAGACCTGCAGAGGTACCATTTGTACGGCCCGGATTATTTTTTATAAAAAATTTTCAGGCCCGGCCCGGATTTTTATAAAATATGTATTATTTATTTTTGATTTTTACAGCTAATAACGGCGATTTTAAATTTTTAAAATATACGGCTCGGCCCAGACGGGATATTTTTTTTTTAAAAATTTTCAGGCCCGGCCCGGGTAAATTTAAAAAAAATTAAAATACGGCCCGGGCTTAGGGCCGGGCCTGCAGGTCTCTGATATATATAAAACAACCTTAAAAATGCGAAATGATATAAAATTCGATGAGAGCATAAGTCAATGCCAACTATCATTTATACCTTCCTAATTCATTCTACACTCATAAAGGACCATATATTTTAAATGAAAAATTTAGAGAATTTCTAGATGATCCTGCTGATGAAGCATCAATATCTACCGATGAAAGCTGTGAGGATGAACTTAAAAGATTCATCGCTTATAAGACAAATAACAAGACAATATTTTGAAGTTTTGGAAGCAGAAATATTCATTTCCTTTTTTGAGAAAATTAGCGAGTAAAATTTTGTCAGTCGCGGCAAGTTCGGCTTCTAGTGTGAAAGGTTATTTTCTGTTGGCAATCTCTTATTAGTGGAAAGGCGGAAAAATTGAAATATAAATAGATGGGCATATTCTTCTTTTCCTAAATAAAAATTTTGATTTATAGATTGTATTTATTTTTTGTTATTAAAATGGATTATGAAATTAGAGAAATAAATAGAATAAATTCAAAAAAGTGTAAAATTAGGCAATAGTTTTGAAAATTTTAACACCGTGAATTTTCTGGCGTGAATCAAAATATTGCCTTTCGTGAGCGGGCGGGTCGGGTCGAAGATTTTTTAGTGGTAAGCGTGAATGGACGTGAACTTTTTTATTTCCACCGTGAGCGGTCGGGTCGTGAATAAAAAATTAGGCCCGCGCTTACCTCTAGTTAAAACTACTCATATAAATATCGTATTTCTTCTATGAATATCTTTTGCTTGATTTGTAACTCTCGCCCTTCTTAGTGTTGAGTGTGCAGTTGGGTGAGGAATAGATTATTTGTTTGTGAACCACCGGTGAATAAATTATTTTGACCTGTTCATCGACTTAGCAAGGATCTGAACCGTAATAAATATTGGTCCGTTTTGGTTTCAGATAAAAATTATGATTTATAGTTCCGTTTCGGCTTGTTGAAAAATATTAAATATCGTTTCGGACCTTTAAGAAACGGTTGAAACATTTTTCATATAAGCAATAGAAATATGTAAAGGAAAGCATATTTTAAAGAAATTTTTATTATTCTTTAAACTAAAATATTGAACCGCATAAAATTAGAATATTTTAAAGATTCTCTTCTGTAAAATTATCTCTGTAAAGAGAAAGAATAAACTTCATATTTTCAAAAATTTGTATATGATTCAAATAGCAGTATGAAATATCGAAAACTATGCAAAACTGATTATTAAGCATCTTTTATTAGAATATTAAATGGCTCCAAACTTATATACTTTATTAGAGGCTAGGTTCAAGTTTGAGTGACAATTAACTGTTCAAGTTCGGTGAATAATAATAGTTAATACCGGTTTAACAGTTAAGTTCAGGTTTGATTTAGTTCCCTGCTTTATAGGCATTATGGGAGATTTGCAATTATATACCATAAAATTATTTAATGTTATATCCATTCCTTGCAATTATATATATCAATTCAATACTATATTTATCACATAAACATGAATTAAATGAGCTTTAATTAATATTTGTATTAAATATAAAGAATATTATACTTCTCTAATTATATATTCATGTTCTTTGGAAATAAATTATATAAAGTCTAATTTTATCTTTATATTCTAATTAAACAAAGGATTCTATTTAATCGCTCAGAATTAAAAATAAAATGCTCAAAAAAATCCTTAAAAGCTCAGAATAAATAATTATGTCGTGTTTTGTTTCGATATATCAACTAAATAGTCTAAAAAGTAAAAGATACAAAATAACTTTAAAAAAACAAAACTAAAAAATAACTTAAAACAAATCAAAAATAAAGTGCCCTAGTTCAAAAGCTATTTAGACTAGGATAAACAGCATTAAATATCAAAATTAAGTCGAACAGGACACCGCCCTAATGCTCATAAAAAATATTGAATGCTCAGATGAAAAATTTAACTGCTCAGAAAAATTTTTTATTTGCTCAGGTATGAAACTGAAACTCTCGGATTTGAAAAATGAATCTTTCGGGGAAATATATGAAACGCTCAGAAAATCGTCTTCGATTTTAAGAAAATATCTGTAAAATTCAGTAAAAATTTTGTACTTATTTTTTATTTCTGAGGAACTATGAAAAAGAATTCTGGGCATTTAAGTTTTTATTCTGATCGAAATAAAGTCATAAAATAAATAATGATCAGATAAAATTTTTTTAACAAAGTAGCTTGCATCAGAGATTACTCTTATTTAGCAAAAATACAACTATCTTATATTGATGCTTTTAATAAGATGCATGCATCTATATCTAAGATACATTCCTATAAAGAATCTAAAGGACGGCTTAACTCTGCCCCTCTACCCCCTTTTCCCAATCTTAAATTTAATTTAATTTAATATAAAATCGGTTAGAATTATAAATACTAAAAAAAATTATTCCTTGTTATTTTATTTATTTCATGCAATATTACGCAAAAGTAAACATTTCTGCTAAATTGGCGGCAACATATCCAAGAAAAAAATAAGGTTTGATAAATGGATCATATATAAAAACAAGGTATTCAAGAATAAATATTTATGTTATAACATAAAATTTATCATTGTTGGCTCCAGACAAAATCGATCAAAAAAGATTACTTCTACGTTTCTTTAGATTTAGTTATCAATAGCATCTATATGTCATATGATATGTTGGAGGCAAATCTCCTTGAAACTTATCCTATTAAAACTAATTTTATGGTCTTTGACTGCAATGTTTTTTCAGCCATTATACTATAGCAAACCAAGGTTAATATAAAAATTTCCAGATACGATTTATAAATATTATTCAAATAGATTGAGTCACTATATAACCTACATTCAACAAAATCTTAATTTTTCTAGGCATCATAATTATAATTATTATAAGAAAAACAAATAATCATTGGTTGGCGATAATCAATCCCGAGCGTGTAGCATTTTTTCTCATTTTTTAATAAAAAATGTACATTAAACAATATATAATATATCCTCATTTTTTCTACAAATTGCATTTTTATATTTAACTTGATACAATCAACTGTGCTGTTATGATTTATATTTTGTGAAATTTAATTTGACTATGATCTACATTATTTACTGCTTCATTGGTCACGGGGAGTAGCCTCAAAGTAGGCTTCTGGGCATTGGTTCAGGGGGTTTTTCGGATATTAATTATCTAATAATAATCTTTACTTAAATTTAATTATTGTAATTTATATATAAAAAATTATTTTGTAAAGTAAAATAATATCAATATAAATAATAAAATATTGCCACTAAACTATACATTTGATTTATTTACAATTTATTATATCTTAGGTTATTTTGTTGCCATGTGGGAAAATTAAAATGTTAATACATTTTATTCGGAGCAATTTTCAAAGTATATAGGATTGTTAATTATTCCCGCCAATGCCTAAAATCGATTCCTTTTACATCTCTACAAAAGCTGATAGGATTTCTATATATAATTTAAAATTTTGTTTTTATTAAAATTAGTAGATAAAAAAAATGAGATTAATATCCCCAAATTGATTTAATATAAATACTTTAAAAAAAATAATTTATATGGGTATATTTGACAAAATTCAAATAGAGATAGTTACATTATCACATTTTTACTCGAAACTAGGTTGAATGAAGACGTTTCTTGTGATAGAAACGATTGAATCCGAATTATCGCAAATCACCCTACTTAACCTGACTTTACGTATTTCTTGCAATTGACCTTATTTTTTTAAAAAAAGAAGTATATATTAGTATGTATGGATTTTATAAAAATAAATTATACTTGGCGTAAATGCATGGCGAATGAGCCTGGAATTATCGTTTTCATACCAATATCTATCGCCGAACCTAAAATTTTTGAATTGGCTTCCGATCATACAAGAAAATGTAGGGCCCAAAATGCCATCGCTCTCTTTTCTGTTACTTTCTCGAAGGATTATTTCTGAAATTCCCCCGACAAATATATCCACATCATCAACGTTTCTATATAGATTTCAAAAATTATTTATAATATTTGAATAAAAAATAGGTTTAAAAATTAGAGTATAGCAAATAACTCATATATTGTATAATTTGAGTCCTGAATACTATTCGGACTAATTTTTTTGAATTTAATTAAGACAAATTTTCTCTTTTTAAAATAAATATTGTTTAGGACTAAAAAAATGTATAATTATATTTTTAATTTTTATTTTTCTCTTTCTCATACTTATATGCTGCCCTCATTCCCTCAATAGCTGAAGGAATTACGTGGTTCTGCATGTCACCCCAATTTCTGTACCTTGTCAAACCACAGTACTCTCTCCAATCATTGTAACCAGGGACTCCTTGTTCTCTGGCTCGCATTATATTCAACGCCATCAAATCCATACCTTTTAAAATGGTGAAACATTAATAATATCCCGAAGTAATAAAGGTATGGATGATTAGTTTAGGTGTTATCGGTTTCTGAATTCTAAGAAATGCATTTATTTGTTATACTATTACAAAGGGTGGCGGCTAGAAATCGTTTTATGCTAATTAGGTTAAGTAAAATAATGTAGGGAACAAAAAAATTATATTTTCAGTATCAATTTTTTTAAATTCCAAAAAAATTTTTTTTTAATAGCTATTAACCAAATCTTTCATGAGGAAGTTTAAAGAGATGATTACGGACATCCTCAACTACATGATTGTCCATATTCTGAGCATGCTGATGGAAAATTCCTCTCAAAAGTGGATCCATTCCATCGGGTACAATATCCCTATAAACATGTTGTGGTTGAAAAAAATCGTTTTTTAGACTCAGGGTAGGCATGCGACCATTTCGACTACTAATTCTAAACATGTCTTTGCTAAATATTTTATAATAAACTGTAGAATTCTCTTTAAAATATAAACTTTATCAAGCTGTGCCCAAATCTGAACGCTGCCGTAACGAACCCATGATCAACCGATGCATCTGTTTCTGAATTATACCCAATAAAATACCCAGTGTCTTTAAGTTCGAGACTATATTTTTCCAGGTTATTTTGACCAATCAGTATAGGTAAAAATTCTTTGAAGCAAATGTGTTGAATTACTGCGCCTAAGATCTTTCTAGCTTCTTGGTATCTATTAATAAATCCAATTTAGCTTATAATTTCTAGGGGATTAGAGGATATTTTATACATTTTTTAAATATATTTTTAACATTCTTTTAGGCTATTGGGTAATTTTTATATAGTAAATATCAAGGATCCAAACCGAACCTGAACCGAACTATTAAACCATTAAAAACCGGTATTTTTATCGAACATAAACCGCTAAAAAATTTCTAGTCTAACCTGAACCGAACTGCTAAAATGCCTTTGAACCGGTTAGAGCCTCATGATTTTATAATTATAAAATAATGTGTAAGTTACTAGTAGGGGAGACTGGGGTTAGGTAAACCCCGGGGCTTGGCAAACCACTTAATCTCATTTTAAAATTAAATACACCAGAAGGTTAAAATTTTATCCTAATATAGTTTTCATTAGTATACATCTATGGACAAAATATATTTTGAAATAATTTATTACTAAAAATTTTATTTAAGAAATAAAATTTTGATGAAATTTTCAAAAGATTTTTACATGACAGAATTTTAATTTTTATTAAAATATATAATCATTTAAATGTAAATTAAATTTTATTACAAAGTTTAAACATTCTTCTATAATTTGGGTAAGTTTTATGAGTATTTATCAAATCTAGATATTATTTCAATCATGATTTGTCAATTTAGAGCTAGCGGGTTTTGCTAAACCATACACGTCAATTATGGCAGTTAGTAATGAAAAAAATTTCAAAATCTTGAAAAGGCAATTTCATGGTTGTTTATGATTGGTATTTAGGATTTATGCTAAAAAATCTTAATTTATCCTTAAAATTCATATTTTTTTATGTCAAAAATGTTTATTAAATTAGTCAAAATTAAGTTTCAATTTTTATATATAATTAGCTTTAATTTATAAGTATTATGATATTTTGAACAAAAAAACAATAAAATTATTCTATACATATCATTATTAATAAATAAAAATGCATTTCAATTTATTATGGCCTAAAAAACCAATGGTTTAGGAAGCCCCTTAAAGTGGTTTGCCTCACCCCGCTATTGGGGCTTGTTGAACAAAATTTTCACTTTTACAAAAAATAAATTTAAAAAAAATCATTATATTCTTAAGATTTTTTATAAGGCACCTTTATAGAGTATAGTTTTAGGTATCCAATCATATATTATTTTTTATATTATCTATGCAACAAGAGCTATAGCCAATTTTGTAAAAATTGGTTCGACTAACCCCAGTCTCCCATATACTGCAAAATTTTTAATTATATTCGAATTGCTTTAAAGATTATTATTAATCACATTTGACTGATAAGTGTCAGTCATCATTTTTATAAACTTTAGTATATTGCGATTTTACAACATTTTTTAAATATTTTAAGCTTATAAATTATAATGCCTAAAGAAAAATTAAATCCAATATATAAATTATTAACATATAGTATTATAAATGACACATCAAATCTGATATCATACTAGCAATGGCGGCTACCCAAGTGTGGAAAGATATTTTTCAACAATTAAATTTATATTATCTCCTTATAGATGTAATTTGAGTGAGATGAATTTTGAAAATATTTTAATTGTGCGGTTTAATAAAAAAAATTTAAGAAAATAAAGTTAAATTGTTCATATTAAAATTAATCATTGATATTTATTTGTTATATTTATAAATTAATATTATTTTATAATGTGCAATTAATAAAAAATGAAGGTTTTCCCTATACTTAATTCGAGTGTTTAAACAGGTTTTTAGAGGTTCGAACTGATATTTTTATTTTTTACAAACCGAACCTGAACCTTGAACCGTTATTTTTATCCGAACCTGAACCTGAGCTGAACTGATATTCGTTTCGGTTTGGATCTCTAGTAAATATCATATAAAATATTATGATCTTACAATCTTTCATCCTCCCATCGAGGATTAACCTTTTGCAAACCTTGTGCAATACGATTATGTTCTCGTACGAACAAGGTGTGGATAACAATCAATAAAGAATTTTCATTAGCTCTTGTATCTCCTTTGTAAAATACAAAAACATTAAATTTAAAATAGTATATGGCTCACCTTTATTTTATTTTTAATCAAGAAGAATAACATAATTGTTACGTTAATTGTAAAACGTCCTTACTTTATGCTTAATAATACAATATCATCTTAAAATTTTAATAATAGATAAAAATGTAAAAATTAATTGTATACTACACATTACAATAACCTGCAGAAAAACATTTGAACGGTCCTGATCTAATCTCGCATTGCATCGAACTTGATATATTAGATATAGGCATTAATGGTTTTAATCTTGGGTTTAAGGGATTTGGTTGAATTTTTAATTCGCCTATTTAAAGATTATTTGTTGAAATATGTCCCATTCTTATTATTAATAAATTTCACCTCTGGAAAAAGCCCTAAGTCTATTACCCACCTCTGGGGTAGATCCATATATTGGGGATGCGTCAATATAAGAAGTGACTTCATTATTTTGATTCCTAGGACCTAATGTAGTTCATAATTATTTGAAATGTCGAAGGAAATTAAAAACCGAATCTACAGTCAATGTCTATAGCTGGTAAACTTCTAACTATTTCCATGCACGTTATCCGATACCGACTAAAGAATTCATCATTTTGGGGAAAATTCATGTTCATACACAAAGGATGAATTGCGTTTTCAGGATCGCAACATTTTAATTTTCCAAACATAAATCCTGATAAAAAGTAGATTATGGAGATATTTATAATAATATTACGATACCTGTGGGACTAGAAGCAAATGCAAATTCATGATCCATCAATTGCCCAAAAACCATCATCATATTGGTCACAGTAGAGTGCTCCTTAGTTGTATATGGCAAAACGGAATTACTGATAATTCTAGCATTTGGCAATTCCTCACCTCTTACCGATCTCCTGGGCTCATTCAAACCTATTACAAACAAGCGCAAGAATAAAAAAAATACGACTGACGTACAAGGCAAATACATGTACTTTAATTAATAGATCACTAGTAATATAAGAATATTCTTTATTTACTATACCATCTCCATAGTCAGCTGGAATAAATCTTTGAGCCGGATAATGAGATGTACCTCTATAAGGGTATTTTATATTGTTGCAAAACCCATCAATTTCCCTATAAGGATTATCGTATCTACACAATCTACCACTTCTACGTTGGTCATAATGATATGGACATTCGCTCTCCATAACTGTAAAGTTAAGGTCCAAATTATGCAAATATTTCGCTATTCTATATTTATCAGTTTCCCCGTGTTGTCTAAAATAATAAATAAACAAATAGAATAGCCCAAAAACGTAAGCCTTGAGGCGTTTGAATTTCTCTAAACATGGGGCATCCAAAGTTGTTAGCAATAATAAAATTATAAAGATAAAAAAACATACATTAGGAACGACTGATAGAATTGTGAAATTAAGCCCCTAATTTCTCATATATAATGGTCTATCTGAATCGCAGGATCTGCCGGACTTAGAGACCCCCTAAAATAAGTAATTTAACTTACTGCATTAAGTTTTTGAGACTATCTGCAGCCATCGTGGACACAAATCCCATTTTTATTTTCATGTTCTCGATAAACTGTGGTCCCTCGGAGTTTGGATTTTCTATAACAGAGAAACAAGGAACAAATATTTTATAAAATTCAAAAGTTTAATGTTTTTTTATCCAAAGGTATCATAGTATATAAATACTTATCATTAAATGATAATAAGTTATATATGTTTATTACAATATAATATCAAAAATTTGATTATTACTTATCAATAAAACTGCTCTGAGCTCTCTTCTGGCCATTTCCTCTACTCTTCGCATGGAATTATCAATGACTCTGTTGATATCCCTTCTAGAAAGCAGTAATTCTCTATCATCAACGTTTATAACTCTTCTCAAAGAACTAAAATCATTTTCATTGAAATCTAAAAAATCGAAAATTGTTTCTAATTGACCGTATGCAAAATATTTTTGATTAAATATCAATAAAAAGTGATGAATGGTTATGACCAATAATAACTGTTTTATTATTGCAGAAAGATAGTTTGAATTTCTTTCATAAGTTAACTGAATGAATCTCATGTTATTTTATCCAAAAAAATGAATGATTAATTTTTTATTTTTTTGTGAAAAATGTTATATTATTAAAAATTCATAGTTTTGACTTTAAAAATGATAAATTTTTTATACTAATACCTTTTATATATTTAATTATTTCATAATCTTATTATTATCTCATTTCAATATTTATTTAAGGTTTTTATTTATAAAATGAATAATTGATTATTTAAAGGAAGGGGGGGGGAAGGGGGTAAACTTATTTTTAAAACTCTTTTTTTTCATAATTATGATAAAACATAATTATTTTAAATCGCAAATTTTTCTGAGAAATGTTTACCCAAATTTTGCATTTAATCAACAATAATACAAATTAATTTTAGAATCTTATACATATTCAATATTTGCGATTATATCTCATATTAATTATTTTTTTTAAATTATGAATAAATATATAATAAATAAAGGTCTTTTCCAAAAAAATATTTAAAATTTAAAGGAGTATTTCATGCGTTGTGTATATGTTTTTTATATAAAGATTTTTTATATATTATGATTAAAATTTCAAATAAATCAAGGGCATACATGGAATTATAAAAATAAAATTTTATTTTAAAATCAAATATGAATAATCTAATTTATTTTATTAAAATATAATTTGCTTTGATTTCAAAGAGATATAGAATAATTATATTAAAAATTTACTAAAAATACATGCACATTAACATATTTTATTTAAATTCACCAATTTTAATTTTTTAAATATTACTGTACAATAGCCGTAAAGTAGTTGTTACATCCTTACACATAATGCGGTACATAAAATGTGTTTCAGGATGTTGCTAGGAAAGTCATTGCATATAAACTATGTCTCCTAGTCTATAAGTAGCTGCTACATTGTTACATAATATGAATAATGCAAAATGCGTTATATAATTTTAAAATAAACGCGTTACAAGGAAACTACATCTCCTAATTATAATTTAGACCCAATCGAGTCCAATCCTAGATGGTTGCTAAAGCGTTTCAAATTAAAATTCTTTTTTAAAAAACGAGGTCTCGGATTCAACCAAAGACTTTATATTTCTGAGATAAAATACCCGATTTCGCCGATTTTTTAAATAACTTTCAAGATTTCAGCCTAAATAATTACCTAATACTCGAGATTTCGATAATAGATTACCAAATTTTCTGCCATCTATGAGCAAAATCTCCAGGTTTCTTTCTTTCTTTCGTTTAACAAACTTACAATTTACAAATAAGCTATGACTTATATAAACAAAAAAAATTAACCAGTAGAAATTAAGAAAGAGCCAAGAATAAAAATAGGGATTAAGAAATAATAAAGAAAATAAAAATAGAATAATACAGTTTGTATTTTTTAGATAATACAATCAATAATTTCCTACTTATTGAGGGGGTGGGGTTCGCAGCCTTTATTGGAAATCTTTAATATTCTCATCTCGCCCTCTATCAATAAATTCATGACTATTTTGGATAAGGGAGATAGGGGAGCAGGCTAGATCTAAAATGCAAAGGTCAATAAAATAAAATTATATTATTGAATAAATAATATCTCCTTTTATTACACTTATTTAATTTTATGCTATATACATAAAAATAATTTTTTTTATACCTTTTTAACAGCATTAATTTTTCCGAAAAAAATATATGAAAAGGGATAAGCTAAGGCGCTTTTGAGCTGCAAAATATTTATTATTTTAAATATAAAAATGATATATTATATTATTGTAACTACTTACTGATAATAAGTCATAATATAAATAATTATAAAAAATTATTGACAATTTAAACAAAGAATGAATTAAAGTTGCAATAAAATCCATATGTCCAAAAAGAGTATTTTCGTGGGACAAAGACCCATAAAGATCTTAGATGCATTTATTCGATAATTATAAAATATAGCTTGCTCTGGAATATTCACCGTAATGTATATAATTTAAAATCTTGTTGTTTTATTATTGATTTATATCTTTTTAACGGTTGCATGACCTAAGTTTGTTTTCTCCATAACGGCTAGCAAGGACGGATTTTCATTAAATAATATAACATTAAATAATATATTAATTATTTAATTATTTGTTTGTAGTTTCTTTTTTCTAATATAATGTCTTACCATAAGAATAAATTTTTAAAAATACTCAAAAATCTCATATGAACCTCTGAAAAAGCCCCAGACCCTCAATATCTTAAAATTCATTTTATAGTAGTTTAAACATATTTTAGTACAAGTAAAGAATAATTTTATATAGAATAGGGTTTAATCTTTTATATAAGATTTTGGATATTAAAGCCTTTATATATTTTTATTTTTTATAAATTTGCAGCATTTAAAAAAAATTTCTTTTGAGAGTTTAATCATAATAAAAATATGTGATCCGATATAAAGAAAACTATAGACGCTTATGCATAATGTAGTTATACATATTTGGTTAAAATTAACCATTAGAGTTGAGTAATCTAAAAGAAAACCAAGGCTGGCAAGAACCTCAGTCTCATATTATCCCCGATATCCTATACCTTAACATAATTTTAACACTATTATTTAAATCTTAAATTGTGTTAGTTATTTAATTTTTCTTACATTTTTTCAAGAATTATTATGAAGAGTCAAGGTTAATAAATAGATCTTTAATAGATAACCTGTGGCACCACTAGGGGATAGATATTAAGAGCTCGAGTTAGGTCTTGGAGAGTTCTTTCAAAATTTTTAAAAATATATTTTTAATTTGGCGATTTTCAAAATTTTTGCAAGCACCTCATCTTTTTAGAAATTAGAAAAAAAATTTCCCTTATTTAATTTACAAAAATTAAATCAATTGTGGGAGCTAAATTTAAAATAAAATCAACGCATTTTAATTTCTCTAAATAAATTAAAATTTAGACACAAAACTTCAGGACCATCAAATCTTTATTAACTATTTATCCGTGGTGATGGACTGAAAAAAAAACAGTAATTGCTTCCGAACAAGTTGATGCAAGTGCCTTGCTAAGATTAAATATAGTAATGTACAAGATATAAGACATGCTATATTATTTAGCTTAAGTAAAGAATTTTTATAAAATATTAATCTAACAAAAAAACAATAATAGTCTTTGCGTGCACTTATAATCACATTGCGAGAAGAAATAATTGAAGAAAATAGCATCCCGTTTACTAGATCAATGATTCCTGAATAAAAGGAATATGTTAAGATAATGTTTACCATAATAATACTATGTGTTGGGTTCTTGCTGCCACTTCAAGAACATGATGAAAGTCATTTTAGTTATAATCTAAGAAATTAGAATTAAATATTGTCACGTTTAAAAGAATATTACCCCTTTTTAGATTATTTATCAACAACTTCACGAGTTTTATTGGGTGCTGATTATATTTCCCGTTTCGGTTAATGATTAAGCATATTTTTCCAGGTGCTCATCTCTACATCATAATGCTAAAGAAATTAAAAATTAATATAGCCAAATCCCTCCCTAATCAAAATTTTTATTAATTGGGTATGGATATTTTCTCGATCATCTTGATGTTCATAAGCGTTTAAGCATGAATAGTTTCCTTGTGCCCACAAGTCACTACAACCTGCCAAAAATTAAATTGGTGAATTATTCTTCTCGTTTAAATTTAACCCCTAAAAGTTATATTCAGCTTGATGGACATGAATAGAATCAAGCTTAATTCTGTTGTTTTTTTATAACACAAAAGGGCAAACTTTAAGAATGACTTAAACAAACTAATAATATTAGCATGTAAGAAATAAATTGCACAAGGTCTTGAATTCGATGATTTTATAATATTCGTTAAATAGTATCGTAAAATATTTTAATTACATGTTCACTTTTATATATTTTCTATAAAGAAATGCCTCAAAATTAGTATTAAATAGTTACTATGTACGTAAGTTAAATTTTGCTTAATATATTCATAATATGCCATTTTGAAAAAAAAATGACCACCCCTAGAGTAAAAAGTTTTGTCTACATTGCCTAACAGGATTTAAGATAATATTAATTAATAGTTGTATTTAATTATCAAAACTTAAGGCCTGGCAGATAGCAAAGTTAGGGTGAACATTTTATTTTGAATCCAACCCACTGAACTCTAAAGAAAAAGTATACGATTTAATATGTCGCTATAGAATAACCTAAAACTGTTCTTTGGAAAAAAAATATGAACTAACATTAGAAGGGCTGTTTATTGGGGAGTTTCGGGAAAGGATTCCAAAATCTTTATAAGACATCCAGGAATTACAAAAATTAGAACATTGATGTAGTAACATGTTTGGTGGCCTGACAATGATGAGATTGATGTTTACGTTTAAAAAAAAATCCCTATATCAAAAATGTAACCCTCATCTAATTCCAGTAAACAGGCCTAGTGCCAACAAGCCTGATCGTCGCAAATTTATTTTGATTTTGACAAGCATGGAGAATAATATTTATAAATTATTAAAAGTTACAGTAAATGGCCAGAGGTGTATAAAATAAATATTAACAATTGTATGGAAGTAGTAAAGCTTTTGAAACTTCTACTTTCATACACATTGGTGAGTAGTGAGCGACAGTGAAAATCTATTCTTGATAATAGATTTTAAAAGAGTTTGTAATTATAGGTTAATAAATCATGTCACAACGTAGCCATGTCATATACTTTCTGTGGGGAGATAGAACGATTTTTCCAGACGTTTAGGTAGTTCAAAATATGTGATGACTTGCATGAATTTCTACTTAGCTATGGAAACATGTCACATGCGACGAGTAAACAAGCACCTTATTTTTAAGTATCAACCATTAGAACCTTTATATAAATACTTATTTAATCTTATCCTCTAATGTATTCATTTTTTTTAATAGTAATAAACAAATCCTAGTAAAAAATGTAAATCAAATAGCGGGTAGAACAATAATTAGAAAACAGGACCCATATCATGTTATTTAAATTCATCAATAATTTAAAATATTAATGTCGATTTTTATAATGTTAGCGTCTTAGAATTCTGATTTCA